ACAGCAGTAACAGAAGCAAACAAGAGTAGCAAGAGCAAGTGTAAGAGTGCACGCCCAATATTGCATAGGCCGTGTAAGTCTCAGCTTGGGAGGCCCAGTGGCAAGCGCGTCCATGCACCAGTTTGCAGTCCGAAGCTGAAAATTTGCCATGTCACGTCGAGGGCTCAGTGCCGCAGGCTAAAGATTTGCCGGCTTGCATCTGTAGTTCAGGCTTGGAGGAGGAAGCGCGATTTCCATCAGGCATGCAAAAAGCTGCTCCGGTGGTAAGCTGGTTCAGTGCACCCACATCAACTCTGGGTTTTGTTTTCTGTCGCCCACCAACAGGCGGTGATCATCAGCATCCTCCACAATCCCAACACAAACAATGATTTCAATGATATTCATGATAACCGTTATGATTGCGAAGGCCATCATGCATAACCAATCATGTTGTTGATGATGGTGGTGATGGGTGATGAGCAGCATAATCGCGATCGACAACATCACCCATCATCATGAGTCTGTGCCAGTCATGGTCATCACCGGCACCCCAATATGCCATAGGCCGTGTAAGTCTCAGGTTGGGAGGCCCTGTGGCAAGCGCGTCCATGTGCCAGTTTGCAGTCCGAAGCTGAAAATTTGCCATGTCACGTCCAGGGTTCAGTGCCGCAGGCTCAGGATTTGCCGGCTTGCATCTGTAGTGCAGGCTTGGAGGAGGAAGCGCGGTTTCCATCATTCATGCAAAAAGCTGCTCCGGTGGTAAGCTGGTTCAGTGCACCCACATCAACTCTGGGTTTTGTTTTCTGTCGCCTACCAACAGGCGGTGGTCATCAGCATCCTCCACAATCCCATCAAATGCAATGATTCCAATGATAATCATGATGATGAGCAGCATAATCGCGATCGACAACATCATCCATCATTATGAGTCAGTACCAGTCATGGTCATCACCACCATTGTCATCTGGCTCTCACTCCTCGTCATCACTAGGTTAATCAATAACAACAACAACATCGTCGTCATCATGCAGCTGAGATAATAATGCCGCCGCAGCAGCTAGTGATCGTCGTGATGGTGTCAGTACAAGATCAGTGGTAGAAGCAGCAGTGGAAGCAGGAGGAGGAGCAGCCGCACCCAACCATTTCAGGGGGTGGCGTTGTTGGATACCCCTGCTTGCGACTGCTGCATACCCCTGCTTACTGTTCTGAGGCGTTCGTGCTCTTCAATCACATGGTGGATGGAGAGGCACTCGAAAATGCTTGGGGTTCCATATTGTTTCGTTCGATCCCCGCTTACACTATTGATGGGGGCCGCTTTTTCAAAGACCTCTGGAGTTTTGGCTGGCCTTGTTGGTTGTTGCGGCCGATTGTCAAGGTGTCGAGGGCGTTTTACAAAAGGGGCCTGAATAATTACCAGGACAAATTTGTGGGGGTTCCTCGTTATAATTACCCCAAAACCCTATTCTTATTATCAAGATTCTCGCCGTCGAACCAAAGTGGATTGTAGGCCTCTGTGGAGGGTCTTCTATACCCCCAAACCAGAGAGCCCTGATACCCCTGAAATTTTAATGGGCTTCATATTGTGCTTTTTGCTTTGTTCCTTACGTAGCGGGTATTGGGCTCTGTGGGTTTGGGTCGAGGGTTTCCGCGATCCGATCCGCACCACTCCAAAATCCCAGACCCTCTGCTGGCCGCTGCTCCGCCCCCCGCCGGGATCCCAAGGCTTGCAGCAGCCTTCTCGGGGTGGTGTTTGGGATAAGCACTCCAAGCCAGAAAGGATTCTTTGCAGCCCGAGATTTAGGGCTGAGTATAGAAGCCCGAATAATTAGAGAAGAGTTTCTTCAGGCTCCTGCATGTATTGTAATACATATTTCACCGCAACAGCTTATACCAAAAGAATCAGGCCCTTCTACTACGGGTTTCGCATTTTCGCTAGAATTTGCAGAGACAGAGAGAAAGAGAGCCAAAAACAAGTCTAGAGTTACATGGATAAGGCAGATATTTGCAGCCAGCTCAGAGTCTCGGGCTTTTAGAGCTTCGGGTGTCGGTGTGTAGGAGTTTTAGGATCGATATAGCTTCGTGAGTAGTACCCTTTTGCCTTTTAATTTGGGGTTTCCTTGTTCAAACAGAAGATTAGGAAAAGGTATCCCTCTTGTAGAGGCTATTCGAAAACCTAGGATTCCGGTTTATGGTTTTGTCGTTTAGATTTCAGCGCTTAGGGGTTGCGATTCCTAAGCCTTAAACCGACAACAAAAACATTCTTGCCAGCTGCGATTAACGGTACTACAGGAAGGTTTAGACAACTGGAAGTATGATTCTCTCATGGTCCCAAGATGTGTACACTACGTTGTGTACCAAAACCAAATTCTAGCTACTGTGGCCCAAATGTTGAGGGCAAAATGGCTCAAGTTTTTTGAGTCCTTTGAGCCTTTAGGAGTCGAACCTTTGCAAGCCCCCGAAATTAACTATAGACTGCATTAGATCTTAACTCAAAATCTTGAGCTTTATATCATAAGCCTGAACTCTGCACGTCTGCTCGAAGACCCATAGGGCAAAAGTAGCCAGTGGTAGGGGATTTAGGACAGGACCCAAGCTCCGATTTCCTGCATCTTTCGCACCCTTCAGGCCGAAACCCCAACAATTTTAAGTCTAGCAGCAGCATGCCAGGATCCCAAATTCTGAAACGCAGCAGCCAATCTGAGCTCTCAACCAATGCCGCATTGCAGTAACCTGCTAGACGGTTCCATCCTGCACTGATGTCTAATTTGCCTTTGAGAAGCACTGGTCAGCATACACGTGTAGGACCTAAGTGCCCGATGTAGCCCTGGACATGCCGGTGCCGCAGCACTTGGAGGATGGCCGTTTCTGGCCACACGCACTGTCGTGTTGAGGCTTTGCCCATGAATGCATAGGATTCCAGGAAGCTTCTCACTGCGTCGCCGGGTTTGGATCTGGCAATGGGGAAAGCCCTGCAGCGTTTACCCCGATCCTTCCTGGATTGTGTTCTTTTGGAGGTTGTTAGCACAGCTCAAGGTGATTACCCCTATCAGTTCCAAAGGCGGGCTCGGCTCGCAGGGCATGTCTTCCGCAGGTGACCTATTTGCAGGAATCGAAGATTTTCGTTTCCGGTTCAGGGAATGTAGGAGTTTGGGGTTCTTAGCACCTGTAATTTTACTGTTACACAACCCTCAACAGGGGGAACAGGGGGACCCTGAAATTTATGGGACGGGTGCCAGGACTTGTAGGTCCGTGTCGATCCGAGGTGCCGGTTCACAGACTACGTTATCTACGTGCTGTCGAGGCCGTGTCACCTTTCACATTCCATGGGGTCCAAAATTACTTGGGGAGAGAGTGTACCCTAAACCCTAAACCAGAGATCCGATAAGGAACAATGCAGAAAAGGGGGAGTCCCTTGGCCTACCACGTCAATCCCATGCACCTTACGGGCTGAAGGGAGACATCCCGACGGCTCCCTGAGTTCTTGAAAGGCATAGCTGAGGACCCCAGTCTCGGACGACTGAGCCTGATCCCGAGACTATGCAATTGAATCTTGGACCTTGCGGAACTCCAGAAGGTCTGACACCGCACTGAGAAAAACCTTCCGGTACTGTTACGTAAAGTTTCTAGTGCAACAAACCCCAAGCTTCCCTGCCTCCATCATGTGCATAGATATGCACATGCACACCAACACATACATATTACGACCCGAATGCCCTACTGCCCTTCGCGGAATGAGGCGAAACTCGGTGGGAAAATTTGCGCACAATAAGGCGAAACAATCAAGGTAGATATTTCTCGAAGTCTGGGACAAATAGTGTCGGAATTAAAGAACATCGGTGAACATCAATCCTGGCACAGGATCGGCTAATGACCCTCAGGCTGCTGTAACAGATCGGCTTCCCAATCTTAAGTCTTCCACAGGACGCTGTATCAGATCGCTCTTAAAAGAAGCCACAGAATGTCCTAGCAGATCGGCTGAAAGGTTTGGTGCACTTCAGGATCCGATCTGTTGCAGCATCCTCCGGGGAGACTTCAAGCTCAGGAGCCGTTCTGTTACGGCATCTTAGATCAGTTCCATGTAAGTTTTCGAGCCGATCTGTTACGGCATCCTTTGCTTGACTTTAGGAGATATTTGCCTGCGATATCCTTATAGATGTAATGAGCTTCGGTAAGTGCGCACTTGTCTCACGGAGTTAGAGTTCTGTTGCCATGCATTAACTATTCGGTGTCTTGCTTCAGATTGCTGGTGTTTGCTCATGACATCGGCATGCAGCTAGTGACTAGTGTTGATAGATGTGCAGTTTGTGGGGAGCAAGTGTTAACGCTTGTCACACTCACGTTTGAAGTTTAATGATTATGAAAGCTTCTTTGACTTGGACGGGATTCTTTGGGTGGGTGGGTTTGGCCCTTGCTTTGCAGATCCGGTTGTGTACGCAGATGAGCTTCGAATGGCGAGCGGCAGCGCATCCCCCGGTTTAGGAATCGATGCCTGGGAGGCTCTTTCCGTCGGACGCAGGAGACAGCCTCTACAACACGCGCACGTCCCCGACTTTCCAGTCTGAGATGGAGCCTGAGCCAAAAAAACCGTGGGCCGGGGAGGGCAGTGAGGCCGCTTGTGGCCGAGTTTGGCCATCTATCGCAGACACTCCATGGTACAGCGTGTGCTGCAGCGAGTGGGGATCCAGGCAGTCTGCAAATTCGGCACCTTTGCCAGAAGCTTTAGTTGCTTGAGTTTCGACTTTTGAATGCGGCCTGTCCGATGCCTCCTTTGGCTTCTAGCTGGCATGCGAGCATCACACGGTATCACAGGTTCCACGCAGACAGCACGTGAGAGACGAGAGACTCGCTGTTTCATGCGGCCCGTACTTTGCAGAGTGCGACGAAGCTCACCATGGAGCCGTCAAGGGGCTGAATGCCTCGGAGCCCAACAGCTACAGCGCCCCGTTAAGCACGGAGTTGCCTCCCAACAACCCCTAAGCGGTGGCCGGACGCGCAACGCCTTGTGGCACCTCAGCGAAGCCATGGCTCCCAAGAAGGGGAAGAAGGACAAGGAGCAGAAGGATGTCAGGGCCCCCAAAGGGATTCAAGAGAGCAAGGGACAACTAAGGCTCTTGTGAAAGCCCGAGTCCGAGGCGGCTGCAGTCGCCCCTGCCAGTGTCAACTTGTCGCCCGCCATGGCAGAGTTGCTGAACAAGTCGGGAGCCCTGGTGCAAGGGAGATTCTATGTGGGCCTTTGGGGTTTACGAACTCCAAGGTTTTCTCAATTTAGGATTGGCAGCATCAAGGTTGAAGTGATCGCTCATGTTTGGCCTTAGCGCCTTTGTTGATGTTTGAAGACCTTTGTGAGAAACACAACAGGTCGAAGTGCAGCTTCTTCGGGGCTAGCGGGCTGTCTGAACGGGGGCTGGCCTATCGCTTCTGCCAATGCTTCCGTCTTTTCCGACTTTTCTCTTCAACAGAAGACTTGGAGGATATCTGCTCCTGTCGCCAGGAAGATTCGAGAATTCGAGAAAAGCTCAGCCGAGGCTCTTCTGTGGGGCTGTGGGGCCGTTCGGTGTGCACAAAGCAGAGCTTTCTGGCGAGTGCAGGAGAACGAGAAGTCTCAGAAGGCGCAGAAGGGCAAAGCCCGAACCGCCGCCAAGAACAAGCTCAAAGAGGCCACGTCTTCTGTCACGGATCGTCACCTCACCAGGGCTTTGGGCAGCAGCTTCACGCTTTCCATGTAGCGACCATCGAAGCTTTAAAGGGACCGAAACAAAAACGGAGCGCAGCGCATGGTCCAGGGATTTCGGTCTGGCGGTGCTGAGGTCCAAACCCCGGTTCAGGTCCGCAACCCCAGCAGCCCTGCAGTCTAAACCCTGACAACACCACACTTCGAGGTGCCCCGTCCGAATCCTGAACGCACTCGAAGTTGCTGTGAGGTGAAGCAGATTGCCACTGGCACTGCCCCGGATGCGGAAAAGGCCAGGCCGTTGAATGATGGGTGGTGGTTGTTTGGCTTTAGGCGGCATGTGGAACGAAGCAGAAGCGATATGCGCTTTCGCCCGAAAAAGACAAGAGCTTCGACCCATGTGCAATCGAAGTACTGAAGCCGAAGATTCATGGTCTGATGTCGGAAAGCTTGAGGAATGAGAGTGTCAACGCCCTTTCGCCAGATACAGCAGCTGATCCAGCGTCTGGAGGCGGAAGATGAGGAGGCGATCGTGTTGCTTTAGTACAACATTTTTGTATGTATGTGTTCATACATATGTGCATACGTGCATAAATGCGCACATGCACACATGCATACACGCATGCATACATACATGCCTCCATGCATACATGCATACATGCATACATGCATACATGCATGCACACACATGCATACCTACATACACAGCGCACTTCCAAGTCCTCTGTCTTTTCGTCGTTTTGAAGCTCTTGTTATTGGAGTCTGGAACGTCACGTCGAGCTCTCAACTTCTCCCCAAACCACCGAGGGCGCAGTTTTCTCGTTCATGTTCCGATCTGTCCTCGCTTCTCGTGTTGCAGTGAGGGGGGTAAGGCATGGAGACCGACTCATCCTACTTGTAGCATACGAGTTTCTTTTACTTGTAAACTGGCTGGTCCGAAGAGAAGAGAAACCGCACAAACCCCAAAACTGCCATCTTTACCTCAAGCCCCGAGACCTGAGCTCTGCGCATCCGAGAAGTGGGAGGCGATGAGCCTTGGCCAGGATGTGGAAACCCGGACGAAGGAGCCGTTCTCGGGCTTGCTTGGAGCCTGATGGCCGTTTGGGCAAGAATTGTACGATTTAGCTCGGCTAAAACCGACAATTTCCATTTATTTCAGTCTTGAGTTTCGAGGGTTTCAAGTTTTTTGGGGTTTGTAGGCTTCTGGTCTGACAAATGTAAAGCTTTAGATGTCTTTTGACACGAATCACCTTCCGTTGCCAGTGATAGCTTGAACGCCAGGAGCTGACGGACGTCGAGGACAAAGCAGACAGTGCACAGGCTGGGACCGTCTGCGAGAACGGACACTGGCCTCGACACACCGTCACACCGGGTAAGACTCACGCATCTGTGGAAGGGGCAAGACTCTAAGACCCTTGATGCAGGCAGAGCTGTCAAAGTGCCTCGCCACGAAGTCAAAGCTGGAATCGCTACTTCGCCCGGATCTCACTAAGACATGAGCTACTACGGGTTTTGGCCAGCGGTTTAGGATCTGTAGTTGTCTGGCATCGACATGTCTGACTTGGGTGATTTCCTACAGTGCACGTCCTCCGGAAATCACATCATGAATTAGAATCCGAGGAGGCGTCCAGAGGTTTTCATGTTCGCCTGGGAGTCGCACGGACATGCATTTGTTTTCTTAAGGGAGTGTCGAATGAAGTTTCAACTCTTGGCTCTGCACAACAGCGCAAGAGCCAGATCCTCACGTTCACTGAAGATGCAAGCTTGCACGACGCGCCAACTTCACACAACGATTAGAACGGAGACGTTTGGCGTTTTCAGAGATCTTCAGAGGGGTCAGCCCCAGGGCACACAGTCTTCGTGTCTCCGAAGCAAACCTTCCTGCACATTCTCGGCGCTCGTTCTGGCTGCCAGCCTCAATGTCTTCTACTTAGCTCCTTCTCGCCGCACAGTGTGCGCAGTTTTATATCTCTCGAAATTGCTACCTTGTGGGTGCAGGCTGTCAGCCTACCATCTTGATGTCGGCAATCGGTATGGGTTGTCCGTCAGTCCTTCAAGGTGCGAACCGAGGCAATTTCGACACATCCGGGTGGTGCAGAAACAAACGGTTTCAGACCAGCAAGCTTTGATACGTCGATGCAGTGTGGCCGGGAAACGGCCGATTTTTCAGTCGTCGGAGCCAGTTAGTGTGGGCTGCCTGCCCACTCACGGAAGGCGCTGCGGTTGAGATAAGTGGAAACTGCTTGTCTCAAAGCCTGTGCCGGTCGGATGCCTCGAAATATGTAAGAAGATTGTCTTCCTGGCGTAGCGATTGACGGCTTGCGGCCAACACCTGCGGGACATCCACTGGAACCTCGCGAATCCAAACTTTGTGTAAGCGTCCACAGACGCAGTGTTGAAGGCCTCAAGGAGGCCCAAGATCTGCATCCCTAACAACGCCCAACTGCAAGCACCGCAGTGGGTCCAGGTCAACTCCAACAGCAGACGAACACCCTCAACGAGGAAAGGAGGCCGGACTTCTTCCATGGCTGCCTTGAGTTCGTGAAACCCAAGCTCCATGTGACTTAGCTCAAGGCCTCGGGGCAGGATCGCTCTGCAAGAGCAGCAACGTGCGGGCATGCGTGTTTCGGCTCAAGCCAAGTGGCGCACGGCGTGTGTGAAGTTCCTTCAATGAAGGTTCTGACAAGGGGGATGATGAAAGAGCAGTCAAGAGGATCATCCGTTGATGACTCCCAGCTCTCGGCCTCTCAGTCCTTGTTACGCTGGCCACAGACCCCTTGCCACGCATGCCAGTCGTGCTTCAGCAGCATGTGGCCAGCAGGCAGCATGCGATGACAGCCATGGATTCTGCCATGGACACCGATGTCAATCAACGGGCAAAGCCAACTTCACAGCTTTAGCATAACTGTCACGATGGCTTGAAACTACGATTGGATTTCTTGCCATGGCGGTGTGCAGACAGTTGGCTTGCACGCACCAGTGGCTGACGGAATCCTAGGTAGGTCTGAATGAATGACGGGGAGAGCCAGATCTTGTAAATTAATTCAGGGGACCTTCTTAACCTGATTTTAGAGCCCGACAGCGCCTTCAGCAGAGCGATTCTTTCAAGCGTGATGCTGCAAGGGTCCTATGGCTGAAGACCTTGTGCCGAGCTCGCGGAAAATGCTTTTGCAGTTTCGCATAGTACACCTTTTTTAGCTCAACTTGTCCAGCTCTGAACGGGGGCTGGGCCTTCCACGCCAAAGCGCTGCCCAAATCACAGGAAGCTCACAGATGCGGAGAGGCAGCGGCGTCAGGACGTTGGGTCTGCAGAGTCTGCGCTGGTGCGATGGTTGCGGGGCTTTTTAGTTTGAATGTGTGATGATGATGATGATGATGATGTAGAGGGTGTGGATGAGCGGGTTAACTCCATCGCGAGCTGGCTTGGGTCAGGATTTGGCGGATGAGTTCCAACAGACCATCGCTGATGTCAAGAAGAAGATGGATCAGCAGGTGCACAGGAATCGGACACCTCGCGTTTCAGACGGATGACCACGCAACCATGGCAAGGCAAGCGAGCGAAGTCGGCTTGCTTTGGAAAACGAGGCGAGCCGTGCACGTTGGGTAGATTGCAGAGACGGGTGTAAGAGTTGGGGCCAGACCGGCGGGAAGCCCGAAAGGTCCTCCGAACAAAGTTCAAGGAGTTCTTCGAGAAGTATGACCTGCCAGGGGCCTGGCTGTGGTCTTGAATGTGGGTGAAGGGCTGATGTTAGTGCCCCGAGCAAACCCGAAGCTAAGGAGCCCAAATCCCGACAGGTTTCACTAGTCAGTGTGCTTCGGACCCGGGCTGAGGAATCCATGAACTTCAACTCTCAAGCTTCTACAGCCTCGAATTCCCAACAAACACACCCACAATTTCCCGCACAGCTCAAGCCCTACATCCAAGGCGAGAGAAGGATTTGGCCGAGCAACAGAAGACTCGCGAGGTAGAAGTGAAAGCCTTCGAGCAGAGGCACACATCGCACCTGATCGTTTTGTGATGTTCTTGTGCTTGCATTGGCATATAAAGTACATGCACATGTACACAGCATGCCTTACACACATCGGTTCGTGTGTTTATTAAGTCTTACATAGGTACATACATGCTTATGTGCATATACATACATACATGCATACATACATACATACATGCATGCATACATACATACATACATACATACATTCATGCATGCATACATACATACATACATGCATACATATGCATACATACACACAAACTCATACATACACGCATGCAGACATACGTCACGGTCTCTCTTAGAATTCTAGTCCTGCTGATGTGGTTACTGCTGCTGCTGCTGCTGCTGCTGCTGCTGCTGCTGTTCTGACTTCCATTCCTGCTCCTGCTACTGCAGCTGCGACTGCGGCTGCGGCTGCGATTGCTACACTGCTACTCCTACACCACCACCACCACCACCACCACCACCACCACCACCACCACCACCACCACCACCACCACCACCACCACCGCTACTACTACTGCTACTGCTAGTGCTGCTACTCCTCCTACTCCTACTCCTCCCAGCACTAGTATTTCGAGTACTACGACTACTACGACTACTGCGACTACAACGACTACTACCACTACTACGACTGGTACGACTACTACGACAAGTACGGCTACGACGACTACGCCGGCTGTTACGACTACGAACACGACTATGGACACGACTGCCCACACGACTACCACGACCACCCCGACTACCACGACCACCACGACGATCACGACTACCACAACCACCGAGGCCACCACGACTACCACGACCACGATTACCACTGCCACTAATGCTACCACGACGACGACCACTTCTACCCGTACCTCTATCATTACCGCTACCGCTCAAGCTAACACTACTTGTAGCACTAGCACCTGCACTACCACTTCCATCCCCACTGCCACTACTACTACTGCTGCGACAGCGACGGCTACTACTGCTGCTGGTGCTGCCGCTGATGCTGCTGCTAATGCCGCTGCCACTGCCAGTGTCATCGTTCCTAACACTGCCACTACTGTTGCTGTCACTGTTGCTGTCGCTGCTGCTGCTGCTCCTGCTCCTGCTCCTGCTCCTACTTCGATGACCACACCAGGCTCACCGAAGCAGCCAGGGCCTACCGCATCGAGGCACGGTCATCTCACGGGACCCGACCTCCTAACCGCTCTGACATAGCATAATCGAGCAGAATGTAACTAAGCAAACATAATGTGCTGTGTATGATATGCTAAAAGGTTGTATAGTATAACGTATCATTCTATATCATAGCAGAACCGAAATTAACATTACAGGTTTTATGTTACATGGTGATGTTTGTAAGTAATATCAGTTGTCTAGTATATATCCGCCACATAAGTTCAGCATGACCTTGATATAGTGTTCATATAACAATATAGCAATACGGGAAAGTCTTTTTCGTACTGCATTAGACTACATTATAACTGAGCTTGTAGTAGCAACAGAACTGGAATTTACTATTGTTTTAATGCTTGTACAATCGCAATATACATATCATATGGAATTAATGACAATGTGATTTAGAAAAGTACTACTGCTATATACTACTATACGACAGATTTCTACTCTTATCAAATTAATGTCAGCGCGGTTTCTTGCATAGGCTAAAGCTCGTTCGGCTTTCCACCTGTGTATTGCTTGGAAGACCGCCGTACAAACTTGGGCCTCCAGCACCCCTCCCCACCCCCGCCTCCACACCCCCGAGCTCCCCGCCCTCCGCTCCCCGCCCAATCCCTCCCCCAGACCCAAAAAACGGCAGAAAACAGAAAGGTCAACAAAAGATTCCGCTCGTCTACGCACTGTCGCCAGGCGTCATAGAAAAGCCATAAACGTGGAACTCGGAAACATGAATCCCAAACCCACGAATCCTCAAACCTGAGACCCTAATTCCCGACTCTTGATTGGCCTTCCTCGCGGCAGAGGCGGAGCGGGAACGGAAAGCAAAGATGGCCACCCGTCTGATCACTTGAGCTGAGGGTGCAGAGATTTTAAGTTTTCAGGCTTCGTGGGCTTTTGCTGGTTGAGGATTATGGTTTTGCCTCACAGTTCACAGATCGTGATCACGTTCTGTCGCCGAAGACTTTGGAATCAACGCTTTTTGGCAAACGGCAGTCACTGACACTCAGCGAACCGAATGTACCACAGCCATGCTTTGTATGTTACAAGTATCGCTGTACATGATCCCTGCTTCCACTTCTGGCAGTCCCAAGTGCATATGTAGAACCGGTAATGCATGTTGGTTCTACTGGTTATAGATGCATCTTTTCGAGCTCTCTGGCCCTGCAGCTCGATAGTCTTACATGCCCGAGACCCAGCCTAGGCGCTGGAAGGTGTGACGATAAGGGGGCGTGATTTTTGCTCCCGAAGGGAGATGTTGGCTCGCAAGCTGTCCCTAAATGGAGATGGTGGCTGGGGCTAGAAGGAAAGCAAGCCGCTTCACCCTGAAACGACATGTTTGCGGGCAGACCATAGACCTTGAATTGCCCCAAAACCAAGAACGGGTGAACATGGATTTTGGCCGGAGCCGCAAAGCCTGCAAGGAGATGTTTGCTGGGGAAGCATCATCCCCAACAGGAGATGTTGGAAGGCAACCCGTAAATCCTACGAGGAGATAGTGGGTGTCAAGCCATGCATGCCAGGAGATGTTGCATGGGACGAGCATGTTGGGAGGAAGCCTCAAATCGTGAAATGAGATGTCGAACAGCAAACACGCCAAACCACAGCCACTCATCCTTTTGATGTGGGAACAGTGTGTTGATGGAGAGCGTTTTTGAATCAATAGGTAAATGGGAGTGTCCGGGAATTAGGGGTACCTTTCTTAGGGGTCTTCGTAGAAAGGATCCTACTATTCAAGGTACTATATTGGAGTCCCCTATTTTCGGAAACGTACTGCGACTACTATTTGTTGTCGAAAGTTCCGTGTTTGATTCTGCGGACGTTTCCAAATCCCCGGATTAAGGCTCGGCCGTAGGCTTGTCTTTCGCCTTTGATTTTCCGAAAGGGTTGTTGCCAGATGTTACTCACACACCCCGAGCCGCCGCAATGCTCTTATTTCAAAAAGGAGCCGATGTCTGTAGTTCAAGGCGGAGAGATTTCAAGACCCACGTGCACAAATCTTGCTTTCCAGGCGGCCTTACCAGCCCTTGGCCCCTCCGCCCTTTTCCCGATGCACACTACGGAACGTGAACTGCATCATGCTATCGCCACTGAGGAAAACGAGCAGCTTACACAAGCTGAGCAGGCAGGTGACCGGATTGCCTGTATCTTTCACTCACGCACTTACACGCTCTCTTGAAGGAGCTGCACGCTCCAAGCCTTCAGTCAAAAAACCCAAGACTCGCCCGTAAAGCTTCGAGCTCCGTGTCTGCGACTGCACTTGTGGCTCTAGTTTGTTTTTCTTGCAAACGGCGGCCTCCACAGACCTCAAGAATCACCTGGGCAGGCCCTCCGCCAACAGCTGCAGACCTACGGGACCAAGTTTTCTAACTTCCAGGCCGATCATCGTGGCGGTCTTCTTATCCATGTAAGACGATTCGACTTCATTCTAACGACTCTATTTGTCACTTCTTCAACTATGGCGGTCATGCGCGTTGCAATCGCTACGACCATTAGTCTTGGAGGTGTGAATGGTTGCGGCCAAGGGCTTCAGGTCTGCAAGCCTTCGTAGACCCAGAGCTCAGGCCCTTGCAGGTCCAGCGTCGGGATGTGGGTGGCGAAATCACACAGCTTCGCATTTTATGAAGGCTTCGGCTCGGGTTTGAACTTGGCATGTGATTGCACCGTTTGGGCTCTGTGCCAGGATGCTCTGTCGAAATCTGACAAA